TTGTAGGACTCTCTGCGCTTTTACGTTATGATTTGGACAATTCAGAGACAGATAGGCATTGATCTAATATTCAAGAATGGCCGTTGGCTAACTGCAGCGAACAGCACGCACGTGTGTGTGGTTTTAACTGCACTACCATTCATGTGAAGTACAAAGGACCATGTGCCAAAGCATTCCCACTGCAGATTTGCCTCCCTCTGCTCCCAATTTTTCAGTTTTCACACCTGGCCCGAGGCACCCATTGTTAGTTACTCCTAGGATGAATGCAAAAGAAGGTCTAGTATATGAATCCAAATTAAGCCCTGTCCAAACCTGACGACTGAAACATCGTTGCGTCCTATGTGATTATCCCCATGTTCCATTACCATGTCGCAATCACCACCGACACGCCTGCTGCTGCGCTGCCCCTAAACCAAACAGGCTATCACCATCACCATGTGTGATGCCGCACCTACCTCTAAGTTAGTTTAAATTTCTTTCAGAAAATGTCTATCAACTAAGAACTACTACCAAGTTCCTAGATTTTTTTTAATTCTTATTCGTGCACCTGTGGGACGCTGTTCACAATATCCAACTCCAGTCCGAGATGCAGGCTGAGATGGAGTTCTTGGAGGCTTGGTGGTTCCCATTCCAGGAAGCAACTCCCAAAGGCCAAAGCGCAAAGGTTTCAGCTCAATGGCCATGTTAACCTGCTGGTGTCTAGAAGCAAAAGGACGCTAGAGTGTTTGCCAATACTAGTCAACAGCTCAGTGGAACTGAACTTTGCCCCTTCATGTTTATGAACTGCATCAATGGGTGCTGCCTTTTGGAACTGAATCCTCTAACATTAAGGAAAGTTAGAGAAGATACAATACCCTATCTTTCCTTCTTTCAATCCATATGATTAAGGCTAAAATGATTTAAATTAATTTGCAAGTTACAGATTTAATGTATACATTCATAATCATTACATAGAAACACTTTCTTTTAAGGTTATAATAAATTAATAGTCATGTTTTTTTCTTATCAAACATAACCTGTTTTATTTATTAGCAGTATAATGAGTCCCTACTTTAAACTAAAATATATAGAATATTCAGATGTAAATTGGAATAAATGGATTTTATTTGACAGTTAAATGGAAAATTAAGATGGACCTACATTTTTCATTATGGTAAACAAATGGATATATCTAGCTTTATGTATGGAATTTGGCTCAATAATGTGATCTTTTACCGCAAGGAGATGGTACATCCTATTTAGATTTTCTGAAATCTAAAAGATACATGAGCGCGACAGCTCGCCGGAGTGCACACGGTGTGACGCCGCGCGATGCTTTCTGGTGCATGTGAACCATGAAGGTCTCACTCATAGACTTGATCCAATCAGCTGCCTCCAAGGAAATCCAGTCACATCCACTCCTGGACACAAGTTCACAGCCATACTCATTTCTCCTGGCTCTCATTACGCCAAGTGTTCTTAGAACCAGAGATCTATGCAGCACCAATAGCAGCAAAGCACAAGATTTTTTTCTCTATCCTTGTTTATCTTTACACACCAAATGGATTCCCTATGAAGCCTCCTGCTGCCTTAAGTAGCCACCACCCCCTCTTCTATCAAATCATCTCTTTGGGAACCCATACAGCACAGCAGACACTTTTCTTAGCTTTCCAATGGCGGCAGCCACCATGTCCCTCTCCTCCTCGACCTTTGCCGGCAAGGCGGTGAAGAATGTACCATCTTTGGCTCTCTTTGGAGAGGCCCGAGTCACAATGCGCAAGACTGCAGCGAAGGTGAAGCAGGTTTCCTCTGGCAGCCCATGGTACGGTGCCGACCGTGTGCTCTACCTCGGCCCACTCTCTGGTGAGCCCCCGAGCTACCTCACTGGTGAGTTCCCAGGCGACTATGGGTGGGACACTGCCGGACTTTCAGCTGACCCCGAGACCTTCGCCAAGAACCGGGAGCTGGAGGTGATCCATTGCCGCTGGGCCATGCTCGGGGCACTTGGTTGTGTCTTCCCTGAGTTGCTCGCCCACAACGGCGTCAACTTCGGTGAGGCTGTTTGGTTCAAGGCCGGCTCTCAAATCTTTAGTGAGGGTGGTCTCGATTACCTCGGCAACCCCAGCCTCGTCCACGCACAAAGCATCCTTGCTATTTGGGCATGCCAGGTCGTGCTCATGGGTGCCGTCGAGGGGTACCGCGTTGCCGGTGGCCCACTGAGTGAGATCGTCGACCCACTCTACCCAGGCGGCAGCTTCGACCCTCTTGGGTTGGCTGACGACCCTGAGGCATTCGCCGAGCTCAAGGTGAAGGAGATCAAGAACGGTCGCCTTGCCATGTTCTCAATGTTTGGCTTCTTTGTCCAAGCTATCGTCACGGGCAAGGGCCCACTCGAGAACCTCGCTGACCACATCGCCGACCCCGTCAACAACAATGCATGGGCATTTGCCACCAACTTTGTCCCCGGCAAGTAAGGTGTCTTGAGACTGTGCTCGCCATGAGGCGCGTTGTCCTGTGGCCTGAGTTGTACTATCATAATGTAAAGTACGAGAATTTTGTGCAAAAGAATGGTTCGATTTGTCCACTTCCATGGCATGCCTTGCATCGGTCTGACCATTTTGTTGTGATCATGGTTCACGAGAACAGATAAATACTTCTGTGTGTGCTTGCTTAACTATTACCATATTGGTGGAAGACACATTTCAACTGATTCCCCTATTTAAAAGAGTGGCAACATGTAAACCAGGCTCTGGTGATTCATCCTGAGCTTTGCTCCTATGCCACCAACTTGAATATCCTTTCAGTGCAGCTTTGCAACTGCATGATCTAGCAGACAAGTTTCGTAGACCTATTTCCGCTCAGGCTCACTCTCAGTTCATCCAAATGCAAGAGAATATTATTGACTACTCATGGAATTCTGCCAATTACTCCTCCAAGAAGATGTACAATATTCTTATGGTTACTTTCAAGCTTGTGCACATTTTATCTTGCTTTGGAAGAGTGCCTGTCAACTCAAACAAAAAAAAATTGTTGGCTGCTACTTTATGAGAGAGCTAACACCAAAAATCTGGTGCAGAGGAAAACATTTTGTCTTCCCCCTTGCAGTTGTGTCCTTTTCCATGAACAACCTGAAGAAACTCAGCTTCATCTCTTCTAGGACTGCAGTTTTTCTCGTGCATGCTGGAATGCTTTTATACCTCACAAGCCCAACCTTTGATGAAATTAAGCTTGCAAGAATAGCAATTAACACTCCATTTAGCATGGAGATAGTCATTCTATGCTGTTGGAATATATGGAAGATCGGGAATGATAAAATATTCAGAACAGAGAGGTCCTCTCTGGAAAGATGGCTTAGAAGTTTCAGTGAAGATCTTACTCTGGTTATCTATGGAGTAAAGAGAAAACACTCGGATAACTTTCTTTCTTGGATAGAAAATAGTTTGTAATCTTTCCCCTTTCCTCTTCTGCATATAGTCCCCTGTAAATATTTTTATGAATATAATTACATAGTAGGATCCTTTTCTACTGTTTTCTGGTAAAAAAACATATATAATGTGTTCAGAGAGAGTCAACTTATATAATGTGTTTATTCTTCAGGCTCTCCATCAAGGCAACCATCCCGAATGATCTCAATCCATTCGGCTCAACTGCAAGAGCCATGGTTTTGTTTCATTTTTTAATTTGCAAGAAAACAGAGTGTGGCCAATGATATCGCATCAGTGGTTTTTCAGGACTCTCTTCATTTTTACTTAATGATTTGGACAATTCAGTGACAGATAGACATTGATCTGGTAATCAAGAATGGCTGTTGGCTATGAGACTGCAGCGAACAGCATGCACGTGCGTGTGGTTTGAATTGTACTACTACCATTCATGTGAAGTACAAAGGACCATGTGCCAAAGCATTGCCCACTGCAGATTTGCCTCCTGCTCCCAATTTTTCAGTTTTCACACCTGGCCTGAAGCACCTATTGTTAGTTACTCATACGATGGATGCAAAAGAAGGTCTAGTATATGAATCCAAATTAAGCCCGGTCCAAACCTGACGACTGAAACATCGTTGCATCCTATGCGATCATCCCCGTGTTCCATTACCATGTCGCAACCACCACCGACTCGATTGATGTTGTGCTGACCCTAAACCAAACAGGCTATCACCATCGCCATGTGCGATGCCGCACCTACCTCTAAGTGAGTTTAAATTTCTTTCAGAAAATCTCTATCAACTAAGGACTACCAGGTGACTATTTAAAAAAAAAACTGAACCGTGCACACCTGTGGGATGCTTTTCACATATTGACAATCCGACCCCCGCTAGCACGGACATCTTGGAAGATTGGTGGTTCCATTCCAGGAAGCAACTCCCAGAGGCCAGGCGCAAAGGTTCCAACTCAATGGTCATGTTAACCTGCTGGTGACTGGTGTCCATGGAAGCACAAAGTGAGGCTAGAGTGCATGCCAATACTAGTCAGCAGCACAGTGGAACTGAACTTTGCCCCTTCATCTTGATGAACTGCGTCAATGGGCGCTGGCGGGCGAGAGCGGAGTAGCAGCCATCTGCAGGGTATCTTTCAGGTGTTGGAGTGCTGTAGCTCTCTTCTATAAAGAAATGGTGTACAGTTTGAAAAGAAAAAATCAGTGCTTGAACTATTTTTTATTCTTACACAATTATCACCGCGTGGCTGATAAATCTTTTTCACCTGATACATTATACCCCCATCCCCATGCACAGTCAGTCAGAAAGAGTCCAAGACTGTATCTACCCCAGCTAATCGCCCTCCCAGCCCAACCACCCCTACCACAGCCTTCACCCTCCCCTGTCTCCATTATATATTTCATCAAGTAGCCCCTCCTCACTTTCACAAAGGACCTCCCAAAAGCCTCTCCCTCATTTTTCTTAGCTGCCAAAGCTTTCATCTGCTGCTATTTCTCCACTCCACTGTTGTCTTCTCAGCAGCTCAATTTGCTCATCACACTCAAACACAAGGTAGCTAAGCCAGCCAGCTGCATTTACCGCGCTCATGGGGTTGCAAGAGATGGCGAAGCTGCAGCTGCACCACCATGGCGGCATGCGAGCTGCTGGCAACGACGGCGACCAGGCAGCAGGCGGCGGCGGGGGCAGGGAGAAGGCTGCGTCGGCGGCGGTCTGGATCGCCGTGCCGCTCAGGCCCGTCAAGGTCGGCCGCCGAAGACACGGCGGAGAGACAGAGGAGGAGCAGAAAGAAGAGGAAAAAGAGGAAGAAGAGGTGACGACGCCGAGAGGGGAAGGGTGCACGATACCCTGGGAGGCGGCGACGTGCCCGCCGGCGCCCAAGAAGGCGAGGACGGCGGTGGCGATCTTCGCCGACCGCCGGTGCAACCGAGACGACGGCGAGGCGGCGGAGTACTTCCGCGTGCCGGCGGACCTGGACTCCGTGTTCGCCGTCAGCCGGGTGGCCGAGGCGAACTGATTGATTCTTCCTACGCGCGCCTAGCGCTGAAGTGCTGCGAGTGCGAGCGATCAAGTCCAGTTTGAAAGACAGAGACAGAGGAGATGATCCAATAATGCAGCTGTAAAAATTTCGCATTGTCGATGCAATGGATTTATCTTAGTTAATTACATCTCTTTTATCAGTGTAAATGTAAATTAATCGAGGTCGAGGAGTGCATCTGTACTAGTACTGATTCGATCTGTCTTGCTCATTTGCTGGATGGTCAAATCTGCTGTTTGTCTAATCTTCTTTTCATGTCTCGTTAGGAGGGAAGTGGATTTTCCCTGTTCTTTGGCAGATAGTGCACCTTTTAAGTTGGACTGAATTTCGCTGTGAAATTTTTGTGAGAGAAAATGGAAGACACCCACATCTTTATTTTTCTCTTGATAGTGTCTACATACTTTTCACGCAGTAATAATATGGACATTATGTATCCTGGGACTGTTGTCAGCTAATTTACTTTAAACGAAATTTAAACCCTGATCGTTGAACTAGCTAAAATACATCGAGTGTTTACCCTTCAGTTCAACACTTACTATGGAAAATCTCAAGAAAATCACAAGCCTCCATATGTATCTGGTAAACTATTCCCCCGCCCTCTCGGTCATTTTCTCAGATTGTTCGCTCCTGGTGCTCCCTCAACCCTCCTTTCTCCCCAGGATTCTTTTTCTCGCCACTCCTTAACCCCGGATGGAGCTCAAAGAATTGGAATGAAAATTCGACCCCGGATGGAGCTCAAAGAATTGGAATGAAAATTCGACGCGCCTCCGAGCTCGGAGAAGATGGTGGGTGGGGTTGGGATGCATTTGGGCTCGCCTGATCAGATTCATTAGCGGCGAGTCCAATGCAGCGACATTGCTGGCCAAAGTATTAATGGTAAATAATTAGCAACTTGAATCCCAAACTTCGAATGGATGAAAGCCGTGTTGCAATGCTTTTGGCCGTCCATATCTGTTGTGAAGTGTTGTGTTCATCTTGTGAAGGCATCTAGTGTTGCCGTGTATTGTTATGTATGTTGCCATATGGTACTCGCGACTAGAAAGTATCCAGCAGATATCACATTTCAAGCATCTATCCAATTCCTGATAAAATATAGTGTACTCCCTCTGTAAACTAATATAAGAGCGTTTAGATCACTACTTTAGTGATCTAAACGCTCTTATATTAGTTTACGGAGGGAGTATTAAATTTCAAACTTCTAAACAATTCCCGAGAAATGGAAGTGCATTAGAAGGGTGATGGCCTATAAGCATGTGAAATTTGAAGCTCAAACTCATGCTCATTGGGTGGTAAGAGAAAAACAAATTATGCAAGAAATAGTGATATTGTGGTCAATATTCACTACTAAATTTGGTTATTTTATACCTCCCAAATGAATTTGATTTTTAACTTGGATTTTATATCGGTTTTGCTAAAGAAAATCTAGATGTGCTCTAAGTATTGCACATCTAAATGCTATATCATTGATATAGGTGTGTCTAGGACACATCTAGATGTGCCCTAGTTATTGTACATCTAAGTGAGTCAATCAAGCATAGAAGAAAAGAAAAAACAAAAATCCTCATACGAACTCCGCGTAAGATCATGAGAAACATATATATTTGTACAACATCACCTCCCCAACATATTTGTTCCAGAATTTTTAGAAACCTTAAAACAGGGAGTAGTTTGTACTTGCTTTACACTAATGTTCACTGTACCTTGGTTTCCACCAGATATTTTCTTGCAAACAATTTTCTCAAAGACATGTTACAACAAATAGAAACATATATATTACATGTAAAAAAACGTATGCGTGTGTTTGAAAAGATTGCAACATTTTTTTCACGTTCTCTGGCAGATCATGAGAAAGTTATATACCCACGAAAAAAAACTGCACTTTGATCATTTGCTTTTGTTACTGAGATTGGACGCTCTAGAAGCATCGTTTAAGTAAGACTGGAGGCAGGAGGCAGCCGATTTCCCGCAACGGCCGCCCTACCGACGCTAGCACGTCCAATAAAAACACTGGTAGCATTTTTATGCACATGGCTATCCGTACTTGAACACACCAGCCAACCTCTAAGCCCGCCAAAATTTGAAACACCCAGTTCCAAACAGAAGATCAATTAAATCCCAGAAAACCTGCGTCACTTTGGTTGATAATAATATATTAAGTAGGTTTTTCTCTAAAGTGTTCTGCTTTCTCGAGCTTCCAGGGGGGAAATAATGTTTTGGTAGGATCCCAATTTCAAGTACTAATTAATTTAAACAAGAACAAGTTGCTGATTCTTTTGCATGTCCTACAAAAAAGAGTGACCTACTCCTTTTGTACCTGCAAAATTTATTAATTCGAGAAAAAGAGCAATGATTCATGCTGGCTTTTTTCAAACAATAAATATAACCATATTTTTCCCACCATTAATTTATAACAGGTTCTTCATGCCACAGGAGGATGTGTGTATCTAATCCCTCGATTGTATCGAGTTTTTACCAACTAAAATCATACACCAGATCCCAGACGCTCAAAAGGCCACCGAAAAGAAGGCAGAAGTCAACACAACAAACATATGGATGCTCATATAAGCTTACCAACTTGTTTCTTTTATACTCATCACTAACCTTGAAGATCAGATCAACAACAGCTCTCGTGTAGCGTAGGCTAGCTTCACTTCACCTATGGTAGAATGTTCTATTCCATTAAATACCTGGTCTCAGATGCTGCTGCATGGATGCGGCCACAGTTTCATGATCAGAGCAAATAGATGGATAACATGTCCAGCCAATATAAAATTCAGATACTAGTGCAACGGCTCCACTAGGACTTTGGCCAGTGGCCAGTGCTATCATTTTCTCCCTTGGATCCCTCTATGCCTGGGCCACCACATTGCTCAAAGGCAGGTTCCTTCCCGCTTCCTCTGCTTTGACCTGCACAGTGAAAAGGTATACTATTTACTCTTGTAAAGTTCTATGTACTACTAGTGTATTTTGGTCTGATCTTATGTTTGCACGATTGGTAACTGAAAATGATTCATTCTGTGAAAAGTCACTTTGGAAAGTATTATGCAAATCATGTCTGATGAAGTGAAAAAGGCAGTATCATATTGATCAGACCTTTTTTCACTATTATCATTCTTAATTATGACAGATCAACAGAATTTCATCTTCTTTTTTACTTTCAGCAGAGCATAGAAGCACTTGTCCATGCATATATATTTCCAAGAACTAATGAGCGTGTAGAAGAGCACCATGCCAAAGATCAAGGGGAAGTAGTTACTCAATCAGATCTTGAAGGTAAAAAAAAATACAATGTCAGATCCTCTTGCAGATAAAGCTAGGGTTGGTTATTCAATTTGGATCACGGCCTTAATTTGGTTATGTGTCCAAATGATGAAAGCTCCAGTTAAGGGTACTGGAGATGATTAGGGGGACTAGCCCCACTTCATTATGTCTGCCATTATAGAGCTTACATGTATAATCTATTGGCCCACTGTGTCTTTTCTTTAACTACACAACAAGAAACAGTACCAGCTAGTGTATGTATATGTTGATGTAACTAGACACCAATGTTTGTCGTGACTGATCTACTAAAATGGTGATCTAATTATTGGATTGGATGCCGTAAATGAAAGGATAAGGAGAGGTTGATGAGCACCAAATTAAGATGCACATCATCTCGAACATTGCGTCTTAATTAGTGCTATGTAACATGTTGAATGAAAACGACAAAGACAAAAACCAAGCATTGTTGAAATACATGCATGAGTTGGCCGAATGTGATGGGCATAATAATTATTTTTATTAAAAGGATCAATCCCCATTGCATGTGAGCATTATACAATGGTATAGGAAGGCTTAGTACCTAAGCTTGCTCTATCAAAATACTTCACCAGTACAACTAGGACAAGTTGTCTCTTTGTTTTGTGTTTATTCCTAAATTCACTCTGATCATTGCACTTATCATCATAATTATCCAACATGCTATTAATATCATGCCTAACTATGTTCATGTGTAATAATGCCTCCTTTTGCATTCATCATCATCAAGGGAGGTGCATTCATCAGGACCCAATGCAACATTAAGTGTAGTCTTTTCCTTCCAGCTAGTTAAGATAATATGACATGTCTCACAGGTAGGTCATTGTTCACCCTCTCATGCATGGCCCTACTGTGCTTTACCATTTCTGTAACAACACTGGATAAATCATGAGCCCTTTCCACGCCACTTTCATGGTTGTGGAGAAAGGTCTACGCAAATCATGTCTGATGCTGTGGTGCATGCACGTTGTTCCAAAACACATTGAAGTGGACAAAACATGGACATGCACATGTACAGATCCATGAGCTTGCATGTACAGTCACTTCATTTATCACAGGCTGGGTTTGGTTCTTTTCATCTACCCTTGTAATTATCATATACAAATAAAAAAATACTAGGAGTTTGATGGCATACCATGTGATCAATAGGCCAAAATAGTGGACAGTTTGCGCAAAATTATTTAACTGATATGAACAAATGTGATACTGTATATTTTTCAAACCAAATCATACAGTCAAATGCAATTAAGATGAAATTACTCTTTTAGGAAAAAGGAACATATGTACACATCCATGCATCAATGCATGTGACAATCTGGGTGGAGGAATCTAAGGGGTTGATGTTATGTTACAGAAGGGGGCAAGCCAAGCACTCTTGTACCGATGCAAGACCCCAGCACTGTTACCTTTATTGACTAACAAAACCATTCATATTTTTGTGCTTGCTAGTTGCTCCAGACTATATCTGATGAATGTAACCAGGCACCACAAATCTTGCAAGTTGCAACCACCATTCATAATATTAATATATAACATGGTTGCATTTGGGTTTAAGACATCAGCAGAGACTGATTGATCTGCAGTTTCCTAGGAATCAGTTATGTTATTACAAGGATGCTTCATTTGCACCAGGCTATAAGAGTTGGAGAAATATATTTTTACCAGAAGAGTCGAAGAAATATAATGCATCACATATCACTCCATAAATGCATTTCAAGGACTAAAATCTAGCAACATACCAGAATACAGAATACAAGCAGGTTAGTGGGTTGGCCATTAACGCTGTATAGCTACAACAATGTGCCAAATACTTCTTAGAGTAGATGACGAGAAGGCTGAAACCCCTATCACCAAAAGCAAGCTGAATAAGAACTCCGTCTGTCACTCAGACTTGTGTCAACAGGAGGGAGTCCAGAAATCTTGCAGTGTACAGACGGGATAACCAGCTCGCCAAACGACTACTAAACTGAGATAGGCAGGAACAGTGCTTGGTATATATGATTAGGGTCTACACCAGAGATGCATGATACAATGATCAGTCAGCGGCTTGGGGCATCATGAGTAAAGTATTAGCATCTTAAAATCGAATCAACGCTCCAGAGACGAAAGACACATTCCTTCAAGAGACGAGCAAGAAAGAGGGAACTCATCCTTGGCTGAGCTAAGGCATTCAGTAAGTTCATTTATCTGCCCGGCCATCATGTATAACTGTTCAGCCCGATATTTGGATGACCACTCCTCTACTGTCCTGAAAACAGAAGGAAACAAACACAGGTTACTGCCATTGTGACTTCGCACATAACAGACTTGCAGGAAATACAATCATCTGTCCAAATTTCATATTGAGGTACAATTAATGCTGTAGACAGTATGGTAGGTATGTAAACATCAGTATACTTCCCATCAACAAAAAGACTAGGTGTAGGTTTAGCATATACCATACCTTAAGTCTGTTTCTGAGGCACTACTGCAGTTAGAATACAGGAGCTTAACAGTAGGCTGCAGATGTGCTGTCACATGTGAACCATCCATTTCATTTTCATAGCAGTAACCAGAAAACATCCATGCTTTTGAACTAAGGAGGACTATTTGCAGCATGGGCCTTTTGGTTTTCAAATCTCTCACTATTGTACGAAAAGATATTTCATCTTCAGCAATTTCAAGCAACAAATTAACAAATAGTTTTTCCAATGTGTGTCCCCTGCACATAGATAACCATGCCCCATGTCAGTGATGAAATCAACTTATGAACACCAAGCTAGTGCAGAATATCCATTCAGAGAGTTACAAGGAGCAACAGCTCTAACTGCCAGACTATGTATAAGAGTTGTCATTTAACTTCCTTTTTTCAATCATTAGGAGTGGTTACACCAGTTATCTCAAAACTAGAGAGAAGCACATATAGAGTACCTGAACACATCATGAGGACCCCCAACAGGAAGGTCTGAGGATGTGTAACATTTGAACAGCCGTACCCGTCCATCTGATGGAGCATCTGAATATTGCGATGGGTATGATCCAAGAGATGACGAGCAATGAGAACATAGAAGCTCAACCCAGTTAACATCTTTCACAAGGTTTGATTCTTTAACGATAAAGCTACTTCCAAGAGAGATACTTTTTGTTAACTTGTAATCTCTTTGGTTCTCCAATCCAGCTTTTCCACTATCTCCATTGTCACCGCAGCAACTGCATGGATCTACCAGATTCGAATCAGCCTCTTGAGAAGTTTGCTCCATGTTTTCAATAAAACAGTCACTTGTAGACTTCTCAGAATTCACATCGCCACCATTATTCAGCTGGATAGTACCACACTGATCAGTCCAAGGAGTGCCTCCATTTTTTTCAGTATTATCAATACAAGGACCCTCTTCCAAAAGAACTGGAGGTTGCAAGTGATTAGAACCAATTTTCTTTTCATGGCATACCTCCTCTTCTGAATTATTCAATTTTATCTTCTCGGCAGTATGATCGCTTTCTAGAGTAACATTAAACATAGCTTCTTCTAGTGCAACAAAATCAACACTGGGCACTGAAGTATCTACTCTCGACACTATATCAGTCTCAAGATAATCCTTCTCTATAATAATGGAGGTAGCATCTAGTAGAGTTGTTCTCTGCAGGCGACCGTATGCATTGATATAGTGTGATATTAACTTCTCACTTGCCCCTCCGAATGATGTGCAACATCCACCAAACCAATTGTCAGCCACATCCTCCCAATTTAAAGATGGCATTTCCACAACGTCCCTGAAAAGTAGTTATTTTAAACATGAGACTCGCCAACGAGATAAGGTTCATATGAAGCTTTTGGACCATTATAATACTGACGAAACATAAGCTGTGCACCTAGTTTTCACGTCCAGTACAAACTATTAGCACCCATGAGTTGTAGATCGCACAAGCTCATGAGCAGGCTGATGATATGTGAGTAATTACCTAATGCTTAAATGCAATAAGATACTCTTAGTGTTAGTGATCTGTAGATTGCAGCTATTTTTAGAACTTAGATTCTAGAAATTATCTACTGAACCAATAGTATATCTTCCAAGTGGGACGAGAGCATAAGACTACACCATAAAGCGCTTCCTTACCACTTCCCGTGTTGCTCCTCAGACAAAATCAGCCACTTCTAATGCTTCTTTAGAACATTTACATTCCAACAGAACTTCGTAAACCACTACGATGCGATGACTGATGAGCAGATCCATCAACCAATAGTAAGTTCTCTCCAATTTAAAAGCAATGGAGATGATATGAAAGTGCAAGGCATCTCTGAATAACTTACTTATTACATGTGAAAAAGAACAGGTTGTGCGGGAGAAATAAATAATGATAAAAAGTTTAACTTGATTATGAAAACTTTTATTGCACTTTCCACTAGATATTAACATCTTTCCAGTTTCTGCAAAGAGATGCAGTTTGATTAAGATCGTGATTCTTCATTCTTGCATAGCACACTATCATGGGTTTGGACATTGCTAAGTATGAAGTACTGAGTGCCAGCAATTTGATTTGAGTAGGTTCAGTTTCCATGAATTTTTTAACGTGTAAACAAGTGAGACATGTAACTGAAGAGTAAAGACTGCACCTAAAGTGTAAAGCCCCAACCACAAGGTTCCCAAATGTCTACCTTAGTGGCTGTTTTGTCAATCTTGCTGAGCATGTTTTGCAGTACAAATAGACATCTCCAGAAGATAGAGACTTCAAATCTGCCATGAAAAAGAACCAACAAAAATATCTCAAAATTGATCTGAAACATGGAGATTCAAAATGAGGAAACCTAGCTCTGAACACTTCACTGTCATTTGAAAGTAGAAATCAGATTATAGTCTTCACTAAAATATACGGGGCTATGGTAATCTGTGAGTGATTATTGAGTACTGAGTCAATTTCAGTTGAGGAGGCAATTGGGAAACTAACTAAACCTCGCTTAATCTCAGAGGGGAACGGAAGTTAACCAAAAGCTCACCATCGCGGAGGGAGAGGGGCGCGGGAGGGCCGGCGCCGGGGAAGGCGGCGGCGACGACGGGATGGTCGACGGGGAGGACGAGGGTGAGGCGGACCTCGAGGTGGTCCCCCGCGGCGCGGCACTCGGGCGGGGCGGAGGGGTCCACGAGCACCCTCGGCACGGGGACCCTGAGCGATACGGGGTCCGACGCAAGGGAGAAGGAGAGGAGGAGGAGGTCGGCCTCGAGGCGGAGGTCGGCCTCGAGGCGGAGGTCGGCGCGGAGGCCGGAGGGCGCCGCGGCGGAGAGGGCCGGGTGGGAGAGGTAGAGACGCAGGAGGGGGAGGTGCGCCAGGGTCTCCCACGTGTACCGCCACTGCCGCCGGTGCGCGCTGTCGCCGGCGGCGAGGAGGGAGGACGAGGCGGCCATGGCGGTGGTGCTCGGCGAGGCGCTGCCGAGGGAGGGGTCTCCTGGGCTTTGGTGAGGTTCTAGGTCAGGTCCCCCGCGTCGATCTTGCCCGTCCATCCTTGAACGGACGGAGGGAAGCTGCCCTGCAACGGGTCTAGTGCTTTAGGCCCGGCTAGAACATTCCAAGCCAAGAGCAGACACGCAGGAAGTGTCGTGGTTTTAGTTCAAATTAGACATTTTACAGTTTATTTCGTCCATACACGTGTAAATTAGGCACATATCATTCCGTCAAAAAGAAAGAAAAAATTAAGCGCATATTCTACGGATTAGTCTCGTTGTTTGAATTCCCGCAAGCAGACGCAAATCAGGGATTTGCGGGCGTTCAGAACGCTGGCCCGTACACATCCGGTCCCACTTTAAAACCTCTTCCGTGCCATCGATCTCTCCTGCACAAAGCAGTTGTCACATATTCATGTCGATCAATGTCGTTCCAGAAAACCAGTGCCGCTTTCATGTCGATTCAGAGCGAACGTGACCTCTTATGGTGTTGGCATTGAAGCGGCGCGCCGGCTGAGAGCGTTGCCCACGTCATGTCCCTGTCTCGTCTTTTTAATTTTTGTTTTTTTTTCACTTTTTTCCTTATATGTATTGAAATATACAAACAAAACTGTTCAACCATTGAAAAATATCCATACCATTAAACAAATATTAATTATATATTTTGGAAATGTTTAATGTGTATAGAAAATAGGTGTGCATAAAAATGTACAATGTGTATGGAAAATTGTATCATGCATTTGGAGATGTTAAATGTGTATAAAAATGTTTTATATGTATACAAAATGTATCATCTGTATGAAAAATATAGACATCAAAACATATATTAATCATGTACTTGAAAGTTGTTAACCGAAAATCTGAACAATTAAATTAGTGATACCGAATATTCAACCGACCTATTAATTTCTTATAACCTGCTCTACAAGAAAAATGTTTCTTCTGTATACAATAAATGTATAATATGTATAAAAAAAGTGGACATCAAAACATATCTTAAAAAAATGTCGATCATGCATTTAAAAATTGTTAAAATATGTATAAGAAAAATGTTTCTTATGTATATGAAAAATGCACAATTTGAATGAAAAAGTATGCATAAAAATATATATGAGAAAATGTTTATCATGTACTTAAAAAATTATTAAATGAGTATAAAGAAAATGCTCCTACTGTATATGAAAAATGTACAATCTGTATGAAAAAAAGACTTCAAAACATATATTTAAAGAAAAATGATCGTGTATTATAAAAAAATGTATAAAAAATTGTTCAGGTTGTATACAAACTACAAAGCATGTGCAATGTTTATGAAAGGGATAAAACAAAGAAAATTAGAAAAAAACAAAGAAACCCGAGGAAAAAGAAAAGTAATAATTGAAAGTGCAACTAATTCTTGGATGGTTTTGGTAATTAATAACAACATATATGCCATTGATCTAATGAACATTGATGATAGATTTCAGAAAAGACAAATGATTGGCATGGCAAGGACTAATGGATGTGGACCCCTCAAAATGTCAAGGACAAACATTGGCAACCCCAAGACTCTACATTTTTGGTTTAGTGATCTAGGATCATATTGTTGGGGAACGTAGCAGAAATTCAAAATTTTCCTACGTGTCACCAAGATCTATCTATGGAGAGACCAGCAACGAGGGGAAGGAGAGTGCATCTACATACCCTTGTAGATCGCTAAGCGGAAGCGTTCAAGTGAACGGGGTTGATGGAGTCGTACTCGTCGTGATCCAAATCACCGATGACCAAGTGCCGAACGGACGGCACCTCCGCGTTCAACACACGTACAGCCCGGTGACGTCTCCCACGCCTTGATCCAGCAGGAGAGAGGGAGAGGTTGAGGAAGACTCCATCCAGCAGCAGTACAACGGCGTGGTGGTGGTGGAGGAGCGTGGCAATCCTGCAGGCCTTCGCCAAGCACCACGGGAGAGGAGAAGGACTTGGGAGAGGGGGAGGGCTGCACCAGAACATTGGTATGGCTGCCCTCACACCCCCCACATATATATAGGGGCAAGGGAGAGGGGGGAGGCGCAGCCTTGGCCCTTCCTCCAAGGAAGGGTGCGGCTAGGAGGAGTCCCTCCTCCCCAAGGCACCTCGGAGGTGCCTTCCCCCTTTAGGACTCTTCCTTTCCTTATCCTTTGGCGCATGGGCCTCTTGGGGCTGGTGCCCTTGGCCCATATAGGCCAAGGTGCACACCCCTACAGCCCATGTGGCCCCCCGGGGCAGGTGGCCCCATCCGGTGGACCCCCGGGACCCTTCCGGTGGTCCCGGTACAATACCGGTGACCCTGAAACTTGTTCGGCGACCAAAACAGGACTTCCCATATATAAATCTTTACCTCCGGACCATTCCGGAACTCCTCGTGACGTCCGGAATCTCATCCGGGACTCCAAACAACATTCGGTAACCACATACAAACTTCCTTTATAACCCTAGCGTCATCGAACCTTAAGTGTGTAGACCCTACGGGTTCGGGAGACATGCAGACATGACCGAGACGTTCTCCGGTCAATAACCAACAGCGTGATCTGGATACCCATGTTGGCTCCCACATGTTCCACGATGATCTCATCGGATGAACCACAATGTCAAGGACTTAATCAATCCCGTATACAATTCCCTTTGTCTATCGGTACGATACTTGCCCGAGATTCGATCGTCGGTATCCCGATACCTTTGTTCAATCTCGTTACCGGCAAGTCTCTTTACTCGTTCCGTAACACATCATCCCGTGATCAACTCCTTGATCACATTGTGCACATTATGATAATGTCCTACCGAGTGGGCCCAGAGATACCTCTCCGTCACACGGAGTGACAAATCCCAGTCTTGATTCGTGCCAACCCAACAGACACTTTCGGAGATACCCGTAGTGTACCTTTATAGCCACCCAGCTACGTTGTGACGTTTGGCACACCCAAAGCACTCCTACGGTATCCGGGAGTTGCACAATCTCATGGTCTAAGGAAATGATACTTGACATTAGAAAAGCTTTAGCATACGAACTACACGATCTAGTGCTATGCTTAGGATTGGGTCTTGTCCATCACATCATTCTTCTAATGATGTGATCCCGTTATCAACGACATCCAATGTCCATGGTCAGGAAACCGTAATCATCTATTGATCAATGAGCTAGTCAACTAGAGGCTTACTAGGGACATGGTGTTGTCTATGTATCCACATATATATCTAAGTTTCCTATCAATACAATTCTAGCATGGATAATAAATGATTATCATGAACAAGGAAATATAATAATAATCAATTTATTATTGCCTCTAGGGCATATTTCCAACAGTCTCCCACTTGCACTAGAGTCAATAATCTAGTTCACATCGCCATGTGATCAACACTCACAGGTCACATCGCCATGTAACCAACATCCAAAGAGTTTACTAGAGTCAATAATCTAGTTCACATCACTATGTGATTAACACTCAATGAGTTCTGGGTTTGATCATGTTGCTTGTGAGAGAGGTTTTAGTCAACGGGTCTGCTACATTTAGATCCGTATGTACTTCGCAAATCTCTATGGCATCTCCTAGATGCAGCTACCACGTTCTATTTGGAGCTATTCCAAATAACTGTTCTACTATACGAATCCAGTTTACTACTCAGAATAATCTGGATTAATGTCAAAGTTTGCATCGGCGTAACCCTTTACGACGAACTCTTTTACCACCTCCATAATCGAGAAAATTCCTTAGTCCACTAGTTACTAAGGATAACTTTGACCGATGTCCTGTGATCCATTCTTGGATCACTCTTGTACCCCTTGACTGACTCATGGCAAGGCACACTTCAGGTGCGGTACACAGCATAGCATACTGTAGAGCCTACGTCTTAAGCATAGGGGACGACCTTCGTCCTTTCTCTCTATTCTGCCGTGGTCGAGCTTCAAGTCTTAACTTCATACCTTACAACTCAGGCAAGAACTCCTTCTTTGACTGATTCATCTTGAACACCTTCAAGATCATGTCAAGGAATGTGCTCATTTGAAAGTACCATTTACGCGTTTTGATCTATCCTTATAGATCTTGATGCTCAATGCTCAAGTAGCTTAATCCAGGCTTTCCATTGAAAAACACTTTCCAAATAACCCTATATGCTTTCCAGAAATTCTATGTCATTTCTGATCAACAATATGTCAACATATACTTATCAGAAATTCTATAGTGCTCCCACTCACTTCTTTGGAAATACAAGTTTCTCATAAACTTTGTATACACCCAAAATCTTTGATCATGTCATAAAAGCATACATTCCAACTCCGAGATGCTTACTCCAGTCCTTAGAAGGATTGCTGGAGCTTTGCATACTTATTAGCATATTTCAGGATTGACAAAACCTTCTGGTTGTATCACATACAAGCTTTCCTCAAAAATCATCGAGGAAACAATGTTTTGACATCCTATCTGCAAGATTTCATAAATGATGCAGTAATTGCTAATATGAATCCAACAGACTCTTAGCATCGCTACGAGTGAGAAAGTCTCATCGTATTCAACTCCTTGAACTTGTCGGAAAACATCTTAACGACAAGTCGAGCTTTCTTAATGGTGATACATACCATCATTGTCCGGCTTCCTTTTAAAATCCATCTGTACTCAGCAGCCTCACGACCATCGAGCTGTTCTGTCAAAGTCTACACTTTGTTTTCATACATGGATCCTCTCTCGGATTTTATGGCCTCGAGCCATTTATCGGAATCCAGGCTCACCATCGCTTCTCCATGGCTCGTAGGTTCATTGTTGTCTAGCAACATGACTTCCAAGACAGGACTACGTACCACTCTGAAGTAGCACGTATCCTTGTCATCCCACGAGGTTTGGTAGTGACTTGATCTGAAGTTTCATGATCACTATCATAAGCTTCCACTTCAATTGGTGTAGGTGCCACAGGAACAACTCCCTGTGCCCTGTCACACACTAGTTGAAGAGACGGTTCAATAACCTCATTAAGTCTCCACCATCCTCCCACTCAATTCTTTTGAGAGAAACTTTTCCTCGAGAAAGGACCCGATTCTAGAAACAATCCCT